TTAAGCTCAGCCTCTTACGTTGGCTAGGTCGTATCCCTCTAGTGCCCACTCACCGGCTTTCTCGGCCTGCAATAAACGCCGTGACTGCACCAAGTTGGGCGAAACCGCGAGGTGGCCACTCCGTGGCGTGGCATAGAGCTTTGAAGAAATTCAGTGAGAAACTTGGTCAGGCTGGTGCGTGCTGGTTTCCTGGATGGAGATCTCAGGATTGTCTACATCGCTGATTGGAGACACTATGAGATATGGTGCAGTCGCGCAATCAGTGGAGTTCCTGCATTCGGCTTCTTGCGACTAGCTGTCAATTTCATTGCATCACGATTAGCATTACACACCAGTTAATACCTTCCTTTTTGTAATCTACTTAAGTTCTATCGTACTTCCTTAACTCTGTTGTCCATTATTTATCTGGCGACTAATTCGCGGCAGCTACATCCCTGCATTTCGATGCCTTGATCACGGACGTTCGATTAAAATGAACTAGCCGAACGATCCACAAACAAAGATAGCAGGTGGCGTTTTTACAGGTATGCGTAATATATGTCCGCTCACCGACAAGCCAGGAAAGCTATCGTTTACCTACTTTAAGTCGGATGAGCGGATAGAAACTGCCATTGACCTGGTAGCTGGAAATGATGTTGATGAGCACTAACCTGAGCGTCATTAACTGATCACGCCTCACAGAGTACAATCCATGGGACTCGGAAATTTGTGTCTAGTGTGAGAATTTACAGAGTATGGCACCGGTAGTGTGCTTCGTGTTGTCCCTTAACCGGAATGCTCGTTTAAAGTATGTTTGATGCTTAATTATTTGCGGGGTGATTGTGACAGCAGTCATGAGGAATGTGCTTTTTCGACGCCGTCTTCATACAGAGACTGTTTGCAATCGTGGCCCATTGACAGATTGCAAGTACACTGCCATTGAATGTCAGCTCTAGGGATTTCGGCTTTACATCAGGCCCCCTTCCCTGCCATTTGGCAGTAAAACATCGACTCAGGTTACTGATGTATCGCTGCCGATGGTGACGAGGTTGATGAAGGCCGCAAGGAAGCCATCCAGTTGGTGCCACTTAATCTTCGTGCATAATCCAGCTCGCTGACTGATGGGCGATGAAAAAGCGTGGGAACCCTGCTCCCCAACATTTACTTGGGACATGGGTACTAAATTCGACCAAAACCCTCATCCCTCTTCATAGTCCCGTTCGTATGTCAGTGTCACATTAGATCCAAAAGTATTTTAATCCATTGCATCAAATGGTTTGTTTCCTTCTGAGGACTCAGTGCCCCTATTCCCACCTGGTTCCAGTTGTCCAAACGAATAACACACTTTCCGCATTTTAGATGATTGTACTCTCACTGATATGCACTCTATGTCTCAAGGTCACATTACCGTCACGATCAGCCGCTTACGTCCCCTGCACGCACGTCGCAAACATACTTGTGAGTTGTTTTGCATATCATTGTACTATCATTTAGACGCACGATTACGAGATTACATTACATAACCTTCCCGGACCGCGAGTATAGTCTAAGTTTATAACCTTAGGCAGATTTATTTATATTCTTCTCTTGCGATGTAAAGAGATATAGGATGGCTGGCGGCATCCGGTTTCGGATTTGCCTGTCACTGTGGCCAGCCACAGGACGCCTGCGCCTACAGAGGGACCATGGGTGGCTTGCGATGCACCACCCACACACCCCATATCCAGTGTAAACCCGAAGGAATAAGACCGGGAGGCATGTGGATGGAGCCACGTTTCATCAACGGAGCCGGCCCACACTCCTTCACAGGCAAACACAAGCACGCTCTATTTGGGGAATCAAGCGCACACAAGGCGGTGGCTGGACCGTAGTCCGCTCCACACTGAGTACATGGAACCGCTCTTTGAGCCTAGCACGGCCACAAGGACCGTGCACCCCGTCTCCTCCAGCAACGACCAACTGTCACCTGGAGCCAGTATGGACGAGGTAGTGGGTAATAGACAGGTAGGCACCTTGTCAACATACACATCTAGCGCAACCATACCAGGGATATCAAACAACAGCCATTCACTTTAAACGACAAGCTGAAATAAAATAAATCCAATAATGCATACAGATACAGTGGCATAACTGTTCGCTAAATTACCATATGAAGTAAGTTGGTTAGCAACGAATCCGCGATGAGTAAAAAATGTCCACAAGTTACTTAAAAATGCTACAAACGCAACAAAGTTAACGAAGATAAGCGCAATTTGCGTAACCAACGTGGCCAGTTAATGGAAGATTATTCAGGTAGGCGGAACAAACCAAATAAAGTGGAATGAAATTTATCCTGCTTAAAAAGACCTAGTTTAAGTGTAAGTTGGTTTAGCCCAACTGCGGTGAAGAAGCATCAAGAATGCAACATCAGCCTCAGCATGGGGATAATTCCGTCATTAGAGGATGGGTAAGCAGTAGTACAGGATACGGATGTAATGATGTTGCTACTGCGATGACCGAAACTGTCTTCCTACTAATGCGACAGGTTAACAGCCAGACTTAAAGAGGATGCAGATGACCGGTATGTGTAAGACTGTGTTATAACGTGGATCGCACCTGGAACCTTCCGTGTCCGAGAGTGAGGTAGTGGGTCTATCGGACAGGGATGTGGACTGTAGACGAATTGGAGAAGGGTGAAACGATAATCCAGCTCTATTTTGAATGTTAGCGGCAACCTGAGTCCAGTTGCCATAACCAACACAAAATAGCTACGATGAAGGATAATAAGATGGGCGAGAAACGCAATACGTCATGTGATAAAGAATACTGGTTCCAGCCAACGTAATGCCAGAACTGTTGTCGAAGACATGTCAAACACGGGTCATGACTCAATACAGAGCAATAACCAAGTCCATACTGTGCACGTACCTGCCTGCTCGTCGGTTCGTCTGCCATCGGTATGGACTGATGAACCCGAAGGGCCTATTCCGACGTGTGACTCAAGTCAACCTAAACCTGCGCGCAGCCTATCCTTCCTGTGTCTACTGTTGTTAAAAATACCCACACCTTCTGTTTTTCGGAATTTGCTTCGGAGTGCAAGAAATTTCATCCGCAACTTATGATCTAGTCACCAAGCATTTGCGAGTAACAGGCAAACATCGTCAACCAGGAAGGTGGTAGAGAGGTCGCTTCGTTACGAGAAAACTAAATCATCTAGATTCAGTCAGATAGTCGTCACACGTCCGGGGAAGCACTGTGTGGCCGTTTCACCATTCGGGAATCGTCAACAGTTCGCATTCCATCTAGCCCCTGTGGGGCTAGAACCTACAATCCGACTGCTAATAGTTCGTAGTGTAGACCACTATCCTTTGCAGGGTAGAAACGTACAAGACAGCGGATAGTGAGCGGTGCTATATCATTTAATCATGATGGCCGTTACCGTCCCCCGTAGCTAAGTGGTCTCAACCAAAGACGGTCAACAGTCGAGTTACGGGTTCGAGCTCCACAGGTGTCAGCTGGAATGCGCACTACTGACGATCCCTGAAAGAATAAAACGGCCATCAAGTGCCTTTCCGGGCTTGTGATGGCTGTCTGGGTCTAGATGTGGTTAACCACTACCTATACCATTCAACTCCCCCTACTACTCCATTTTGAACTAAATCAAGCGAACTATCCGGACTGGCTGGATCACCGGTAAGCAGGAGCCGTCGAGCTACTAGCGAAGGCTCACTGGACTCCAACTGAACGCACCTGGCCGAGACTTGTTCCTGATGCAACCGCCCTGATGCCGATGGTGAAACCTGAGTAGTGACCAAAGATGAAAAAGGAAGTAGCCACCAGAAACACAAACGATTGTAAAATCAGTAGAAATGGAAAAGAAAAAGAAATATTATTTTGTATGCGACTGTACAAGACATATCGGAAGAAGTCAAAATGAAGAGATTGTACAAAGTATGGGAGGGTGGTGAAATCGAGTAATGCAAACACAGGTGCCTAACCACGAGACTTTGCAGTGGATCCATGAGCAAGGTGACCGATACGGCGCATTTTTCGCTCCAACTTCTGTTGTTTTTTCTCGTTCACCTGGGGACCCTGGTTCGGATCGAAGATCCAGGGGGATAGGATATGGACCCATAGCAGATGCAGGAACCGGCAAGGGATCTGTGTGGCGACGGCGGTGTCAGAAGAAGGGAAATGATCAGTGTGTTATGTTTGAAAAACAGAATGATAACATTGAGAAGGCAGCTAAAACAATCATGAAAAGCCTCTGGTACATGCAAACATTAACGCATATTGCGCAACACTTGACGAGATTATCATCTTAAAAAGCAAGCATTCTATCCTAAGGAACCTCGATTGCCGTAGGGTCAGTCATACTCAACTATAAAAGTATGTGAATTCGGTAGTCCACCCGTGATTTTAGAATCCGGAATTCTTCTAACTTCTGCTTTTTGAATAATCTCAATACTGATGCGGGCGGGGCTTTCGAATTCAGTTGCTGCTGTTACCGTCGGAATATTATTCTACTCTATTCACTGCGGATTCTCTGTGTTTAAAGGAATTATTTTTCCCTTTGTTTAACTGAATCAATTCCATCATTGCCAATGTTATTATACTCGGTTAAGGATTTGGTTTACCCTCGAGGTAATGTAAGAAAAGTGTCTCTTGTAGAATTCGGATACAAGACCAAAAATAATTTCAGAAGAGTCATCAAGAAAAAGTTAGGAAAAAAGTAGAAGCAAAGTGCTGGCTGGCAAGTAGGACTCAAGCACCGTCCCGTTAAAAATGCGCAAATTCCGCTGAAGCTATCCAGAAATGTACGATCGCTTCTCCGAAAAACTGACGATCTAGCGAACGGAATTCATAAATGCAGGTATAGTGATGTTGCAGGAAACACGGTTGCATTCTGCCATTGATGATGAAGTTCTTAATCTCAGTGGTTACCACCACATTAGATCCGATCGCCGGAGACTTCAATAGAGTTAACACAACTTGTATTAACATCATGGATTTAGTCAATTTGGTGAAATTCCCCACCAGACTCGAGGCGCATTTAGATTTAGCTTTTACTAACAAACTCGAACTATTTTCTACACAAAAGCGCGTACCTTTTGGTAATTCCGACCATTGCATAGTAAAGTTATGCCCCAAGTTATACAGTAAAACCAACTAGGTTGCGCTGACAAAAAACCATTCAGAACTATTAACCAACGGAACGGCTCAGCAGATAACATAGGAAAAATAGAATCAACGCTGGTTTTCAATTACGAAAATGATGACTTGTCAAAGTAATGCGAGCTCCTCACAGATTACATAAACTTCTATTTTGATCTATGTTGTCCAATTGAGACAATTTATTTGCGAACAGACAGAGTTTCATCTCCATTGATCAAGCAACTGAGGAGGAAAAAAGAGCAGACTTAGAGACATAGGCTAAGTGCCATTGTTAAACGTCTGTCCATAGCTATAAAAGCAGAAATAAAAAGCTTAAACCCGTTTTACATTCAGATCGTTTTAAGCAACCACAGTTGATGTGACCTTTGGAGCCTTCTAGGACAACTGTCTGAAAAGAATTATTTCGGAACATTCATCAAGGAGGATGTAGATGAAGTCAACGCTGAGTTCAGCTCCTCACCACCAAACACACACGCTCTGCCTTCTTTCAACACTACTGAGAACCCTACTTTATTTGCTTCCGCAAGTATTTACAAAGAGCTCAAAAGACTGAAGCCAAACAAGGCTAGTGGACCGGATGCTCTATCAACAGTCGTTCTGAAAAAAAGCGCAGATGTTGTAATAACACTTGTGACAGAAATCATGAATCGGTGCTTAACGACTGGCACCATTGCAGACATTTGGAAATCAGCCAGAATAACGCCAGCACATACAAAAGATATCGGAAATGTCGGCCAATCGCGTGCAGGTCGTACTGCTAAAGGTACTGGTAAAGTTGCTGATCCTCGCATTTCCACAGGCAATCATACTGATGATGTCAAACAGTTTTCCCATAAACCAGGGCGCTCAACACTAGATGTCGTTTCCCTTTCTGGTACATTCCCACTGCGTTGGGTTGGATAATAAATCCAAGAGCGTATGGCTCCTATTCCTTGATTACACCAACGCTTTTAGTAGCATTTATAGATCACTACTGCTCAACAGTTTGTTCGAGAATGGCGTCCCTCCATATGTGTGTAGTGTGATGCATGCTTCCTTCACAAATCACACCAACTTCATGCAGCTGTGCGGCAAACGGTCTTCTGTACTCCCAGCCAATTGTGGTGTTTTGCAGGGAGCCATCCTGTCTTCCTTTCTATTCACCGCCTACATTGAAAGCCTCCCTATTCCATCAAATTTCATAGGCTGTAAATATGCCGATGACGTCGTACTGAGATGCATAGCCCTGATCATCGAGGACTCCTTGAAAGTCCAATGGGGGTTAGACGAACTAATGAAGTGGTTCAGCTCCCGGGCCCCCTCTCTCAACCCTTCCAAGTGTTGTGACGGAACGTGTTGTTTTCTACATCCCAACAGACTGCAGTCCTTTGAATATATTTCTCCTTCAATGATTGTGGCCGATAAAAGCATACCAGGAACATCTACCGTAAAATACCTAGGAGTTTTTCTATCACACTACTTATCGTGGTCTACACATGTTCTTCAAACATTAAAAAAGAAGGCTCTCTTTTGGGTGGCTTGCGCTGCACCACCCACAGCTCCATCCACACACCCCATATCCAGTGTAAACCCGAAGGAATAAGACCGGGAGGCATGTGAATGGGAGCCAAGTTTCATCAACGGAGCCGGCCCACACTCCTTCACAGGCAAACACAAGCACGCTGTATTTGGGGAATCAAGCACATACAAGGCGGAGGCTGGACCGTAGTCCGCTCCACACTGAGTGCATGGAACCACTCTTTGATCCTAACACGGCCACAAAGACCGTGCACCCCGTCTCCTCCAGCAACGACCAACTGTCTCCTAGAGCCAGTATGGACGAGGTAGTGGGTAATAGACAGGTAGGCACCTTGTCAACATGCACATCAAGCGCAGCCACATCGGGGATATCAAACAACAGCCAATTACTTGAGAGAAAGCTAACAAAGAAAATAAATCGAGTAATGCATAAGGAAACGTGACAAAAATCTTAAATTAATGAGCATTTGAAATAGGTTGTTAACAAAGAATCCGAGATAAGTTCAGGAAGGGGGTCAGAAAGTATATTTTACGGAAATGACACAAACGCGAAAATGTTATCAAAATTAACTATAATTGGCTTAAGCGAGTTGTGCCGGTTTATAGAAGAGCGTACAGGTGGACATTTATTTCAGAAAGAAAAGCATTGGGACAAAATTGAAAACAAACCAACTGAAATAAGGAGGCTTAGCATGCAAGCACGCGGCTAGTAAATCGAATGCAGCGTACCTACAAACGCTGCGCCGCTGCTGCACACATTCTCTGCAGGACCCGTCGTCGCTTCGGTAGTGGTCCCGAGGGGCCTCGCTCATGGCTCACTAAGCCTACCTGACTCAGGCACTCGCGACCGCTTGTGCTACAGCACCATGCGCTCGATGTCGATGGAGTACAACCCATCGGTGCTTGTCGCTTCCGCAATTGCCGCTTCTTCTCTGCATGCACGAGGGCTTTCTCCTGCACTTCGGCAACTGCCTTCGTGATCAGATCGCGCCGTGCATGCCGATCAACCGCCTTCGATTCCCATGATCTGCAATCAAGATTAGAACGTGAGAGGCTCACTTTGATCATGTCCTGGTAACGTAACTTTGGTTTCCCCACGTGCCGCTTCCCTATACTCAGCTGACCAAATAATAGCTGCTTCGGTATCCGCGTCAAATCCATACGGCTCACATGACCGAGCCACCTCAGGTGTCTCAGCAAAAGTATGCAGTCCACTGCATACATTCCACTACGGCGCAACACTTCCGTGTCTGCAACTCTGTCGCCCCAGCCGATGCGCAAAATTCGTCGCAGACACTGCTGATGGAACCGCTCGAGATATCGCACATCCCGACGGTACATCGTCCACGTTTCACTGCCGTATAGAAGAACAGACAGCACCATGGATTTGTACACCATCAGCTTCGTGCCAATGGTAAGCTGATGGTTGTTCCACACTCGGTACTCAAGCTTCCCGAATGCCGCCGCTGCCTTCGACACGCGAATACGCAACTCACTGTGTAGCTGCTGGTCAGTCGACATCACACTCCCAAGGTAGCAGAAGCGGGAGGTGGTTTCCAATACTTCAGCACCAATGCTGATTCGCGGCAATATTGAAGATTGCACCTCCGGTGAAGGCTGAAAGAGACAGACAGTTTTGCTTGTGTTGATGGTGAGCCCGAATTTGGCCGCTGTCGAAGCCAGAGCACTAGTCATGTGCTGCAACTCATCCGCGCTGTGTGCAAACAACGCACAGTCGTCAGCAAACAGCAACATACGGATAGTTGTCTCACAGACTAGAGTTCTCGCACCGAAACGACGGATGTTCAGCAACCCACCATCAATACGGTGCTCCACACGAACACCGTAAGCACAAGCCGCATCAAAAGCACAAGACAACATTGCATGAAGATATATATTAAACAGGGCAGGAGCTAAGACACAGCCTTGTTTCACACCAGAGATAACTGCAAAGTCATCCGAGGTCTCTCCACTCAGCTGCACCCTCGCTCGCATACCACTGTGCAGACATTCAATTAAACTTACAAACTTACGCGGGCAACCAAACTTACCCAACACCAGCCACAATGCCTCGCGGTTCACCGTATCAAATGCCTTGGTGAAATCAACAAAAAGCGAGTACAACGGCTGGTGTCGTTCTCTGCACTTCTCCTGCAACTGACGAGCCGCAAACACCATATCTATAGTGCTGCGACCCGAACGGAATCCACACTGCTCTTCCGCCACGTTCGGTTCCACAACCTGACTGACGAGGCGGTTGAGCAGGATTCGGGCAATCACCTTGCCCACACAACTCAGCAAGTTGATGCCACGATAATTCGTGCAACATTGCTTGCTACCTTTGCCCATGTACAGTGGTAGCACAAGGGCATCCTTCAGCTCAGGAGGCACCTCCTCCTCAATCCATACACGTTGCACCAAGTGGTGCAGCGCAGTCAACAACGCGGGTCCGCCGTGTTTCAATACTT